GGACTGTAATCCCCACAACGAGACTGACATATAATTCCGTGTAAGTGAAGTTCGATTCTAATTATATGAAGTCTCGTTCGGAGAGATTTCACCCGTCCTATACTGACAAAAACGAATTTTTTTGTGAAGTATATCTTTACTTATATCAAGAAATTCGTGACTGGAAAATTTTCAAGAGAAAATATCTTGCACTAAGAAAAAAAAACTTTCGACAAGAAATTTTGGATTTCTCCTAAAGACGAGGACAATTTCTTGATGACAAGAAAGCGATTTCTCATACCAAGGCAAATTGAATTGATTCATTTAATAGCTAATTGGTCTCAATTCTAAAATACTTTAATGCAAAAACTACTTGAATTCATTTGAGAACTCGTTTTCTTGTTATGGACGAATTGCCCTCATCTTTCGGACAAGTATAAAATTTCTTGGCGCAAGTTTTTTTCTTCTTAGAGTAAGATATCTTGCTCTTGGAAATTATCGAGTCATGAGTTTCTTGATACGAATAAAAACGTACTTCTAAAAAAATGCTTGGTTTCTCAGTGTAAGATGAATATCTTCTCTACCCACTCGAGGTAATATTTTGTCTCTTTTTATTCATTTTTTTTCTTCGGCTCTAAAAACTATGAAAACGGCAGATTTATGGGGGCACAACCAGGCCGTCATGCATTTTTTCGAATTGCTCTCTAAACTTGTGACTGGACTTAAGTAAACAGCGGTACTATCAGTAATTATCATGATTGTAATCCCTTCGAATGAGACTTCATATAACTACAATCGAACTTCATTTACAGGTAAGTTCGTTTAATTTTCCATCATTTTTACACATTTTAACACTCATATTTTTCTGAAATGGAACTAAAAACAAAACTGATGCTTCTAATCTCTCTTAGAGAGTCAAACCACTTTTAACGAGTTCAGTGTGTCTGATACATTTCATTATTTAACAAGAAGTCCTTCCTGTGCTTGAAAACTTATGATGTTTGGTAAGAGAGTTGTAAGAATCATTACTCTCGAGATTGATGGGAAGCACTTATTATATACGAAGAAAATTTCACGTCGATAAAACTGCTGAGAATGTGCTGAAAGTGGCAGTCATGGGGACAGTAGCATTAATGGGGCCGTTGACGGTAACTTTTGAGTGCAATAAAACTGGAATTCGTCTATTCAAGAGATATTTATCGCCTTTCGTTGACTCCACAGAATTGTCTCAAATATTCTGTCAACCAAATTTTTATTAAGTCACACAGAGAGAATAGTACTTTTTGTCATTCCGCTCCGCTTCGCTCCGGATCCGTGAATCTCTACCTACGGCCGTCATGACAAAAAATATTGTTCGTCATACGGCCAAAAAAAACTTTTCTGACAAATATGATTGCAGTCCTCGCCTTCGGCTCGTGCTGCAAACCTCATATTCGCCAGAAAAGTTTTTTTCGGCCTAATGACGAAATATACTATTTTGGCCGTATGACGTACAATATTTTTTGTCATGACGGCCGTAGGTAAAGATTCACGAACGCGGAGCGAAACGGAGCGTCCGTGAAACGCTGCCTTACGGCCGGAATGACAAAAAAGTTACTTTTTCGCACAGCGTGATGAAAAGTACTGTTCGATACACGGCCGTGAGGAACTTTTCTGGCGAATATGAGGTTACAGGACGAGCCGAAGGTGAGATCTGTAATCATATTCACCAGAAAAGTTCCTCACGGCCTAGTGTCGAAATGTACTAATTTCGACACGAAATGTACTAATTAAAGTGGCGCTAACAGAGTGACAAAAAATGTACTTTGAAATAAAGTTGAAGGAAGAGTTTTCAAGTTTTTCAAATCGGGTCGGCAATTAGCTCAAAACACGGACTTTTTATGTGCTTTTTTCTGCAGAAAAATTAAATTTTCTGCCCCAATATTTTGACCAAAAAATCGATGTTTGAGTTTGGAGCGTTACGCTGGCAGACCAAAGGTATTGAAGCGGGATAATTCGTGCATAATGGCAAATAATTAAATATAGGCTAATTTTCTGCAAGAAAATAATTTCATTTTTCCGGAATTTTTCCCGAATTTTCCAGGACGTCGAATATGATCGGGTCAGGATAGGGGCATAACGGGTTCCTCCGACCCTAGCATCAGTGGACATGTTCGGGGAAATATGTGCTTCTATTTGAAGTCCGTTAAAAATTTTCTGCTTGAATATTTTGGTGGAAAATTCGATTTTTTTATTTGGAGCATTCATCTAGCAGACCAATGGGGTTAATTAGTGCACAATAGTGAAGAACTAAATATATGCTCATTTTCTGCAGGAAAATAAATTTTATTTCCCCCAATTGTCCCCACATTTCTGGGAAGATTAAATGTGGTCAGGTACGGGCAGAGGAATATAAGATTCCTTCCCTAGGATCATTGGATCCCTTCCCGAAAACATGTGCTTCAACTTAAGGCCTATTATAAATTTTCTGCTCGATTACTAATGGCCTGAGTTCTCACTAATCTAAATGGGCAAATTCAAAGTGGCTCCCTTGGGCCCCCCGATGGGTGAATTCCATCATTGAATTATGTGCTTCAATTTGAGGGCAATTAGAAATTTTCTGCTTGAGTAATGAGCGCATGAGTCGTCATTGATTTGAATGGGTGAATTCAGAATGGCCCCCTCGGGCCCCGTACTCGGTCAATATATTCAATGAATCATGTGGTTCAAGTTAGGGCCCATTCGGAATTTTCTGCATGATTACTAAGAGCCTGAGGCCTCACTGATCTGAATAGGTCTATTAAAGATGGCTCCTTCGAGATCTCCCCATGCCTTACGCCATTCAATGAATCATGTGCTTCAATTTAAGGGCCATTATATATTTTCGGACCGGTTACTAAGGGCCTGAGTTCGCACTAATCTATGTGGGTCAATGCAAGATTGGGCGTCCTTGGGCCCAATGGTGAGTCAACATATTCAATAAATCATGTGCTTCAATTGAGAGCCCATTGGAAATTTTCTGCTCGATGACTTGAGGGCCTTAGTCCGCATTGATTTCAATAGGTCAATTCAAGGTGACTCCCTTGGCCCCCCTGATCAGTTGATATATTCAGTGAATCATGTGCTTCAACTCAACGACCATTAGGTATTTTCTGCTTGATTACTGAGGCCTGAGTCCGCACTGATCTGTATTTCTCAATGCAAATTAGCCTCCTCAGGCCCCGAATGTAAACGAAACTGAAAATTTTCTCTGTTAGAAGAAGCCTAGGCACTTTTTATTGTGATATGTTTCAATGTTTAGACCTAAAAGTGAAGCACATGATTCACAGAAAGGATTGCTTCCTTGAGCCCCTTGGTCTGTTGGGCCTCAGAATGAGTCGACACTCATTCCGGGGCCCTAGGAAGCATTTTTAATGAAGAAAATTTCTAATGAGCCTTGAATTAAAGCACATGATTTATTGATGGTATTGACTTTTGGGGGGCTCAAGAAAGTCATCTTGAATTAACGTATTCAGAACAGATAAGTCTCCAGCCCATAGTGATCAAGCACAACATTTTTAATGGAGCTTACATAGAGACGCATAATTCATTGAATGTTTCAACTCATCAAAGGGCCCAAGCGAACCATCCTAAATTGACCATTTAAATCAATGATGACTTCGGCCGTCATCGAGCAGAAAATTCCTAATAGACCTTAAATTGAAGCCTATGATTCATTGAATGTATTGACTTATCATGGGGCCCAAGGAAGTCATCTTGAATTGACCCTTTCAGATTAATGAGCACTCAGACCTTTAGTAACCGAGCAGAAAATTTATGACTCTTAAATTGAAATACATGATTCATTGAATGTCGTGAGGCATGAGGGGTTAAATCGATTTTGCTTATTGGGCAGTTTTTAATCAATATCTTTAAATCTATGGGAGATAGCGAAATTTTAATTAGAACATTTTTAGTAGAGCGAATTGAGCGCTACAAAAACGGTCTGTTTGAAACGCAGCAAATATCTCACTATGAAAATTACTGGGCTCAACGGAAAATCCCGAACGATTTCGGGACCCTTCGGGTTCACGCGTAAATCACGAAGCAAATCGCCAAATATGAATTTTCAGTAGTATCAATCTATTCCTCAAAGAGTATACATCGGTTAATCAGAGAGTACAGTATCAAAGTAACCGAGTATCGAGTACATCACCGTGGTATATTAAGTCTAGCGCTCCATGTAGCATCTCTATTTTGTTAATTTATTTATTCATTTCGAGTTAATCGTCAGTTATTTGAGTCAATTATCAAGAGATTATCTAGTGCAATGTAAAGACTATTATCAAATTGACATTGAGACATTCAACCATTCGTGTATCCCTAAAATCAGGACGCGTGGCTTGCGCCACAAATAAACTACATCACCAGTGTTTTTTGTAATCCACGTGGTCTTTAATTTTCACTCTCTCCAAAATACTTCCCACCTAGCCGCTCTAACATCATAGCCTCAATCTCAATTAAATATAAATACGAACTGACCGACCGTAATGGTTGGGTGAGTTAGGTGTTGCTCCGGCAGACATCCGAGTGCAGCTGCGTTTAGCGCGGTTAGTGATTGGATGGGTGACCGCTTAGGAACACCCTCGGTGTAGTGGCCTAATGTGGCCCTCTAGTCAGTGTAACAGACATTGGGATTTTTCATGGTTTCCCTTGCAGCCCTAGCCCGAATGGGGTTCAGTTAAGAGTAAGACGGCCCATGGTAACGCAGAAAAAATCAGAAGAGAAAAGTGGGAGAGGCAAGGCATACGAATGGGGAGTCTATAAAACCGTAATGGTAGTAGGAAAGAACTATGAATAAAAGAAAAGTAATAATAATATAAATACGAACTGGAGAGTTTTGTACCTTTTGGTTTAATTGATCGAATTTCATATGAATTAAATTTTTTGAAATTTTCTCTTAGGAATCTTTATCAGAAATTGAACATTTAAAATTGCAAGTGGTGTTTGCACCAAAAAGTGATATAAGAAAGTTTTTCATGTTTTAATAATCTAAGACTTACAAAACTGGTCGTTCTATTAATCGAATAAGTTCATCAATAAGGAAATGGTAAGCCATAGGATGCGCCCCCAATTCAGAACGGAAGAGCGGTTTAAAATTATTTAAACTACTGTGAGAAAGCTCCTGCTGTTTGTAGTGGTTCATAGACATGTGGGATAATTCCTCCATTAATTTCTTCCTGCTATCCAAACACCTGTGGAACTCCTCCATCCAATCCGACACTTTGTACCCATCTTTGTCAATTTTTTCGTATGTATCTTTCAGAGTTGGCCATCTAAAAAATCAAAACACCAATCAAAGTTGATCAAAAATTTAAAAAGCCAGTCGGAATAAATAAATCAATTATTTACTCCGGTTAAGTGATGGAAATGCCAAATTTCCCAAATATGAAGTTGAATTAAGTAGTGAAGTGTTGAAAACAAATAAATCAGTTTTCATTTAACAATTGGTTGTTGGAGAATATTTCGAGACTAAGCGGAGATAAGTATCCTCGGAGGAAATTTAGGTTTTCCTACTATAATCTGAAGTATACATTAAAAGCTTAACCTCTGAGAGAAACTTCTTCAAATATTTAGCAACAACTAATTCACATGAGATGTCAGTAGACTGTGTTCCTAAACCAGGCTGAAAGATTTAATCATTGAAATGCCAGGCAAATCATTCGGTATCATTCGGTAAACAAATATGAGACGTTTGATAGATTTTCAATATTTGATTGTTGTTTCGTGCTGCTCATCAATTGAATTCTCATTAATCAGTTCGATGTTCACAATGGAAATTTCCTGTGCTGAAACTTTTTTGTTTATTCACAACAGTCGATTGTTCTGTAGAATGTGTTCTTTTGCGATGTTTACTATAAGAATACATAATCGAGAATTTTCTGTTTTTTCCTTTTTTTTTTAATGAGCATCACGGAAAAGACGGCAGAAAAAACTTGAGAAATTTATGCTCAATAATTTCCCATATAAAAAAATCATTTAAAAAGAAAAAGAATGTCAAGAGAATAAGTCATCATTTCTCAATATTAGTTTATCATCATTATCTCTGTAAATAGCCGAGACAGTGTAAGATTTCAACTGTACCAGTTATATTTATCTTATTGCGACTATTTAATGAGGTGCTGTTGAGTCATTTCTCATTATCACCCACATGACATTTCATTGTTAAACACATGAAAACATTAAATCAATTATCATAAAATAATTCCTCAAAACCTCAGATAATCACTCGACATTGTGAAAAAGGACCGCTTTATCACAATGGGACAAGAGATTCATTCAAAATTACCACGAAGAACAAAGATGAATAATAAGCATTTTGACGATTCCCAAAAAAATTTAAGGCTAGATCCAGAAAAATAATGCTCACCTCTGAAAGAATTTTGTCCTCCACAGTTTATTACTATTAGTCACAGATCTATACATATGCTTGCAAGTCATTCCAAAATTGATGACATCCTTAATTTTAATATTATTACTTTCAAGAATATAGTCAATAACTTCACAAGGTAAGAATGACATCAATACGTCAGGAGCCATTTTTAAAAATTTTGTTTAATTAACTTTTCCCATTGTGAATACTACTCGCAGTTTTTGAAATGGTTAAAAACACGGATAATGAATTTCTGCGCTTTGATACTAATAATTTCCGTGAAAATCCCCTCGACCGGAAAACATCTCAACTTGTTTACATGAACAAAAAACCTTACTTAACTAACAAAAAAAATCACAAAAACATTTCAAAATGGCGACTGTGAGACATATGAAGTCAAGGCCCTCTGCAGAGATAACAGGGGAGATTGCTCAGGCTTATGGGAACTGTTCAAACAGAATTTAATAGCGGTGGCGCGCATGAACTAATCGAGAGGCCGGCTCTGTGGGTAAAGAAATTTTCATCTATTACCATAGAAACAGTCGATAACAGGGAAGCGTTCCCAATCTTAAATCCAACATGAAACCTCCTTTGCATTCGCTCATCCGCTTGATTATCCCATTTTCGTTCATACAACTTCTTATTGTCTTAATTTGTAAATTAGTTGATCATAAAGGAGAGGGAGAGAAGGAATTATGAAGTCTTGAGCGAAAGAGGATCATTTATTTGAATTTCTATACAACTAGATCTTTAATAAAAAAAATAAATACGAGCAATTCATCTTATTCACATTTATTACATATTTTGTCAGTGATACAAAGGTAATGAATGAATTTCGAATTATTTTGATGAGAAATATATTCAATATTTGTGAGAGATTATATCTCAACAAATCTCATACACATAATGGGATTAAATCAATAATAATAGATTAACGAATGAGACTTTTCGCAGATTATTGCGAGATTTAAATGAATGGTTTGCATCCTTCAGTGACCATAAAAAATTGTCTCCAATCGACAATATCTCCCGATGGAATGGAACGATGTGAATGAATCAATTGATACTCAAGTATCAATTTGAATCTTTAGAAAATTAATCGAGAGTGAAAAAAAATCAGGGAATTTCACTCTGCCATTATGGAGTTATTGACGAGTGAAGTTTATTCACTATACTCTGACATTTCTCTATTGTCTGTATTTACCGAGAAAAAAAAACGTTGTTCCTAGGAATCGATGTGTCTTTTTTAGGGCGCTGCTTTTCTGAAATGCAATAAGCAAGCAATGTTAAAATTAAGTCATTTTGTAAAAAATTTCTAGTGACATGATCCTGAAAATCAAAGGAATGTTTTGAATTCAGGAATGATGTCTGTAGGTTTCAGTAATATTTTCGCGGAAATTCTGGGAACACTTATTGGGAATTTTTATAGCGTTGCCGTAATACGGAAATTTCAAGGAATTACGTCATTGCAAATTAAAAATTTCTATAAATTTCAGTCCAATTATATATGTACGTCCACGTGAAAAGGGCCCACTTTGTCGCATCTAATTTCCGAGATATTCACGTTTTTTTTTCCACTCCATTTATCCCAAAGTTAAATTGATTTTTTGATCTTCTATACGGACGTCACATGGATAAAAATAAATCGGTAAAAAACTTGCGATCGCAAGGAGTTTCCCGAACATCCCCATTTTTCATGCACGAAGAACAATGAAGCTTTTTGGAATCTTCGGGAAATTCTAT